TTTCGGTTTGCAAATTGAAGGCTTTATCAACATCCGAATAAGAAATTGGCTTAATTTATGTGCTAGTTAGGATTTATAGAATTTTATAGTAGGCTCAATTGAAATTTGATTTGGAACGATTAAATTAGATTCAACTAATGTCCGCTAATTAACCTTTATTAAGCACACTTTTGTTTAATGGCCTACTTAAGGCCTTAGTGGCCTCATTGAACCCAAAAACACTTCCACTCACTCCTTTCTTCATCTACATACATCTTTGAGTCCTCTAAGACCCAAAACGTGAGAGAGAGTGAGAGAAGGGAGAATTGATCCAAGCCTTGAGAATTTGAACTCAAACCAAAGAGGTGCTAGGAATTGTTGTCCATTGAAGAAGATTTGAGGGACTCAACCTCAACCCTTGTAGCTTCAAGCCTCTAGGTAAGGAATTGAACTCTTAATTGAGTAATTGATGTAGATTCGACAAGATTATTGGTGAATTAAGCGAATTCATGTAGGAATTGCACTAGAATTGGAAAGAATTGGGTCATACCATGCATGCATGTACATTTTCTCACAAATTGAGCATGATTTCAAAGATTTCTTTCATGCATGTGCTCATCTCACTTACATTTTGGGAGTTCATCATGTTTTCCATCAATTTGCCAAATTTGATCTTGTTTTGAAATGTTTGAATTCAAGGGAGTTCATGCATGTTGTATTCATGAAATATTCATAAAGTTTATATTAGAATTTTATGCAATTGACAAACTCTTGGGCCATAGTTTTGTGAAATAATCCTCAATTCATCATGTTTTACAAGTTTACTATGTTATCTCAAGTTTTGGGGCCCAAGAGATGTGTTTTGAAGAGTTGAATTCATGTTTTGAAGCTTGGAAGCAAATCTGGAAAACTCAGAATTTTGCTTCCACTCTCGAGCGAGGGATCCTACGCTCGAGCGACCATCTTTGTTTTCATGCTTGCGCTCGAGCAATAAAAGGCTGGCTCGAGCGTAAATTGCAAGCTCTCAAATTTTTTGTGTGTGTAGAAGCACGCTCGAACGACAGAACCTGCGCTCGAGCGAGGACCGGTGTCTCATGCTCGAGCGAGCGTCGAGCGTAGATTTCATGCAACCAGAACTTTTTCACATTTTGCAGACCGCTCGAGCGAAGGAGTCTACGCTCGAGCGACCACTCACATTTGGCATGTCTGCTCGAGCGAATAAAGCCACACTCGAGCGAGACCCTGTTTCAGTAAAATTTTGGCTAAGTGTTTCAAGTACATTTTTGTATCCTCATTCCATCCTAGGCATTCCTAGGCCATGATTAAGACTCCATAATGAGATGAAAGACTAGTAACACACTAAGAACAAACAAAGTAAGTTATGTACAATCTGAGCGTGTGCATTCAATTTATGGATCTACCATGTTATGTAGGTCACGCGCCTCGGAATAAGTGAATTGCTTACCTTGCTATCAAGTTGGAGCTACCAATTATCTGTGAGTAATAACTTAGTAAAGTTATGTTCAAGTAATTATTTTCTGCTCATGGATTAAGAACTGTTTTATGAAATGTTATGTTTTATGCTATGAATGATTGTCCAAGTCTAACAAGCAATTATGACATAATGCTATGATTCAAGTATACGCAAGTTCCCGGTCCGGAGGTCCCTTATGGGACTAACAAGCCATCTATGCCCGGCTGGAGGTTCCTTTGTGGAACTGACAAGTTTACAAGTTCCCCGTCCGGAGGTCCCTTCATGGGACTGACAAGTTATTCTTACCCGGCCGGAGGTTCTTATATAGAACTGACAAGTATGATTTAAGATATTCTGTGTGTGATCTATCAGCGCTGATAGATGTATTATGTAAGACTAAGCATGAACTCTGAATTCTATATATGCTCAGAATAAGAATATGAATATGAATTTCAGTTTCAGCCATAGTTTTGGGACATCATTCATTAAAATCTTTACTCTGTTATTATTCACTAGGCTTTAGCTCACTATTTATATTATGTATGTAGGTGAGTAGGCACACGACCAGGCCCAGAATTGATGGCCTAAGTTCTGTTTTTGTCAGCCAACCCTTGCGCCTCCCGAGGAGGTTTCGAATGAAGTCAAGATTTGTGGTTGTTTTTGTATAATCATGTTAGACTTTGTTTGTTTGTTAAGTTTTGGATAAGATGTTTGTTAATACACTACTAGAAGTGATATGTATAAGTTATGTCTCTCAACATCACTCATATGTTTATAAAAGTTTTAAATGATGCGCATCATGTACGTCTTCACGGTTCAATGAACTATATATATTTTGTATATTTGCTTCCGCAGCCCCTAACTTTATGTTAATCGGTCAAGAGGCCTTTGGTAATCCAAGAATTACTGGCCAGTTATGACACTAAACCTGTAGGGGCAGGTTCGGGTCGTGACATAACACCGTGAGACAACTACTCTCTAATGGAATTATTTCCATTAAATATGTGAAGTCTAAAGACAGCAGCGGATCCACTAACCAAAGGGTTAGCAAGAGAGTTAGTTGAAAATTCATCGAGGGGAATGGGACTTAAGCTTATTAAATAAGAGTTACCACAACGGCAACCCAACCTAATTGACTGGAGATCCCAAGATCTAGGTTCAATGGGACAACCGAGTTGTGTATGACTCAGAAGAATCACTGGGGAGTCAAACTCCTACCAATTTCTATGATGAAATAGTGATATTTGCAGCGTTTTAGGTTAAATACTTTTAATGATTCTTATATCTAGGTAAACCTAGTGGAGTATGGCAGGATACTCTTCATAAAAATCACCTATATGAGTATGAACTGGGCCGGTTCTATAAGATTTGTGAAGGGCTACAATTCTCTAAAGCACTCATGAAAGACCAGGTTGTTCAGGGCCAAAATGAATACAATAGTGAGAACTAAACTATGTCTGGTAATATACTGTGTGAGTTCTATTGTCTTGGTTTACACCAACGGCTGAACAGTTCAAGACATCATGTTCATTGGTTAGCTAGTAAATCCGATAGTGTCTCACAAGGAAAGGTTCAAAGCCAAAAGTTACCTATGTTTTACAGAATATTTCCATTTTCTGTACTCTCTGTAATTAGATCATGTTGTTGCATTTTCTCTCCGTCAAATTCTATTCATGTGGGGGATTGTTGGAAAATTGGTTTTATATAGACTTATTTTGGGCCATCATTGAGCCCAATTTTGAGTGGGCCCCAAACGTCTTTTGGGGTAAGTCCGAAAAGATGTCGTGTTCCTTGCCGCATGGTAAGTCACACAGTGAAGACGGTTCGTCAAAACCATTTATGAGTGAATGGGAACTTGACGTCGTTTTCGGATTCATGAAATAGACATTTAAAGAATTAAATGTGGGTTTCCTTGTTAGACTTGTTCCACATTGAAACTTTAAGAGAGCTTGTGTATGTATATAAGCTCTTGGTGTACTAACTTGGATTGGGCCCCAAGTTTGTAGAAGGGAGGAGTTATGGACAAATGGAACCTTAGCCCAAACCACCACACGTGCACGCGCCGCCGCCATCCGACCATCTGGTCGAGCCGTGCCGGGCGCGATTGTGGATCTAGTCAGTTCTAATACTAATTTATTTAAAAATTTTCCAAAATTTCTTGCAAGAAAAATTAATTTGAATTTGAATTCAAAACTTTTTTGTCCTTAATATGTGCCTCATTTCAGATCCAAATTCCACAACAGTTCAATCAGTCTAAGGGGTTGGGATGTGCTCCCTTCGAGGTTTCAGAGTCGAAATTTCTTAAATGTAAATAATTTTTTAAGACCAGTCTATACGGTACTTTGTCCCAACTTTAATTGGACCCCCTTTAGTAGACGGTAAGATTAGTCCCAAATTACTAGGTCCAGTCGGCTGAGTTATCAAAAAATTAGCTAATTTAAAATATTAAAAAATCAGAAGAGAAAGGAAAAGAAAATAGGAGAATTTAACAAATTATTTTATAAAAAATAGTTTGTAACAAACATAACAGATAAGATTCATAGACCAGTTAAATTTACCTGTTACACAAGTGGTGGAATGCGAACTTCCTCGAATCCATATTTTTTTAATTGATTCACAATGGTGTTTGACCACCCCCATTTATAACCCCCAAGTGTAGTTGACTTTCATTTTTCATCAATTTAACTCGTTTCGGTGCAAAGAAAATCAATTTTTTGAACCATAGGGTGCGTTTTGGCCACAACCTACATAACTTGGCATGCGTTGGCGTGGACTTGACTTCTCAGTGCAGAAAAAAGTCCAAATTTTTTTTTATTAAAATTCCGTCATTTTTGAAGTTCATGCATCTACTGACGAGAGGGACATCATAAGCAAAATGCCTAGTGCCGGAAGTCTTGTGACTACTACCACTTGGGGCTGAATTTCAATAATGGAAGAAAGATGAAGAAGATGACAAAATGCTTCAAGGCCTGTTAGGTCCGTTGTAACATTCACATTTATCCATTATATCTCAAGATTATCATAATACAAAAATTTCGATGATCTAATAATTATGAGTATTTTAAACAGAGGATGGAGAAATTAGAGAATTCTTTAACATCTCTCACCATCGATGTTATACTTTAGCACTTGCACTTCAAATCTCATTTGACGACTTCGGATTTTCACCTTTGAAGTAAATTTTGCTTCAATGAACAATTCTGATTTCCAACAAAAACAGAGAAAGCAGAGTTGCTGCATTTATGTGATTCATAAGATATTCATGAACCCATAGCAGCCTGAAGGGGAATGATGGAGATTAGTGTGGCTCCACCCACTTTATTATTGGGTAATTAAAATAATTGTAATTTTTATAGAAGTTCAAATCAATTTGTATCGGGTACAAATAAAAATTATAACACGACTCTCCCTTTTAAAATTGTTGCCATTAAAACACAAATTTCCCTTAATTAAAAAAAATTATAAAATGAAAAAAAAATTTAAAAAGTGAAAAAAAAATAAAAAAATTCCTTGATTAAAGACCATTTGCCAAATTGATTTTAATAGATTTATAAATTTATCCCTTTTTATCTAAAATTTTATTGAGAAAAATTATACACTGGGATAACTCCTCTCAAAGCATAAGATAAAAAGTAAAGAATCCACATAGTTCAAACATACAATCATCACATATTACAAAATTACACATTTTTAATTATTCAAATTTAAAATTTACTTTGCCCGAGGTTGATTGTTGTTGCTTGGCACCCAGTGATCACTAGCCTTTATTTCAAGCACCTGAGATGCAGCACTCATGGTAGGTCGCGATTGTGGATCAACGCATAAGCACCACAGTGCTAGCTTCACAATGGAATTCAGTTCATCTTCAATTTTTTGACTAGAAGGAGGCAAGAGACGACGATCTAACACATCTTCAAGTTCTATTCTTTGATCAACCAATGATTTTAGCCTTGAAATAAGTTCCCCTGGATGTGATCCCATCAAAACTTCAATTGCCAAAACCCCAAAACTATACACATCACATTTTTCTGTCACTGCCATTGTGTATGCCAACTCTGCAATAAAAAACCAAATAAAATGGTTAGATTTCACTGATAAAAGGAACTGATGTCATTTTTATGAATTTATTGAAGTTACCTGGTGCGATATATCCATATGTGCCTGCAACCGAGGTCCAACGTGAGGTATTAGGCTTCAAAAACCTCGCAGTGCCAAAATCCGAGACGTGAGCCTCCAATTCCAAGCTCAACAAAACATTCTTGCTGGATATGTCACGATGAATTATTGGAGGCATGCAACTATGATGCATGTAACACAAAGCATGAGCCACACTTCTAATAACTTCCACCCTCTTGAACCAATCTAACTCCTTCGCCTCCTTATCACTGCTCAACACATTTGCCAAACTTCCTCTTTCCAGGAACTCATAAACCAAAAATGTGTGCCTTTCATGAGAACAATAGCCATAGAGTTTCACAATGTTCCGGTGCCTTATTTCTGTTAACGTCGCTATCTCATTCATGAAGCTCTTGTGATCCTCAATCTCCATGGTTTCGGTTGTGGTGCTAAGCTTTTTAACAGCGACAACTTGGCCACTTGGTAGCTTGGCTTTGTAAACTCTTGCTGACCCTCCCACCCCAATGCAGTACTCATCATTGAAATCTTCTGTGGCATTGATAATGTCCTCGTACACTACTCGCCCATCAAAATTCCAAATTGAAAAGAGATTTTCATTCCTCGATTGGGACTTGTATTCTTGCACACTCCCTTGGCGTCCTCTGCAGTAAAGTGCAATGATCCCAACAACCGCGAATATGAGGAATAGTAAGGAAATGGAAGAGGTGACAATAATAGCAACCATACGAGAGTGTTCCCTTTTTTGGCTACTATTTTTGGGAGTTAATGATGTGTTACATGCCCTCAATCCTTGGATTTCACCACATAAATCTTTGTTATTAGCAAAAGATTTCAGAGAAGAATTAAAGGCCTTGGTATTAGGAAGAGGACCCTCAAGATCATTGTAGGACAAGTCAATGAACGACAAGCTAACCATGTCAACTAGAGAATTGGGTATGGAACCAGAGAGATTGTTGTGGGAGAGATTCAAATTTACAAGATTTACAAGCTTTCCAAACTCGGACAATATCTCTCCAGTGAGTGAATTGTAACTCAAATCAAGCAAAGTTTGTAAGGCTACAAGATAACCAATCTGGTCTGGGATTGAACCATTCAAGCCATTCTTGCTCAAACTCATGAACTGTAGTTTTATGCAATTCCCAATTTGATTTGGAATTGGACCGCTTAGCATGTTCTGTGATAGATCCAGATATCCCAAATTGGACAATGCTCCAATTTGTGAAGGTATTTGACCGAAAAGTTTGTTAGCGTTTAAGCTTAAGTAGCTTAATTCAGTTAAATTTCCAAGTTGTACTGGTATTTCCCCAGAAAGTTGATTAGAAGAAAGGTCAAGAACAACCAGTTGGTTCAACTGAACTATTTCTTCGGGGACTCTCCCAACAATCATATTCCCAGCAATTCTCAGCAGTGTCAAATGCCTGGATTCTCCCCATTGCGGTGAGAACATACCTTGTAGCCGGTTATAGCTCAAGTCGATGTAATTAAGGCTCGGATATACACCAAAATCTTGGTCTAGAATACCGGTTAGTTGGTTATATTCAAGTCGAGCTCTAAACAAGGTTGTGCAATTTCTTAGACTCATTGGGATAGGACCACTAAACTTGTTATAGGAAGCTGTGAAATTCACAAGCTTCCCATACCGACACACTTGTTGGGGCAAGTGACCAGTGAAATTGTTCTCGGCTATATGAAGGGTTGTCAAAGCCGACGAGTTTCCTATTCCTTGAGGAACTGAACCAAATAACCGGTTTTTAAACAGGCGAAGATCGATTAATTTAGTCAAGGTACCAATATTCCAGGGAATTTCCCCGGAAAGTTGATTTTCTGTCATGCGCAAAACGGTTAGCTCACTCAAATTACCCAAAGAACTAGGAATTGTACCAAAGAAATGACTCCCATCTAAAGCAATAAGAGTCAAGTTTTTACAATTCCCTAATTCTAACGGAATATAACCACTCATGTTAGTGTCTTGGATTAGTAGCCTCTGGAGGCTAAAAAGCCCGGTTTTTGCCCCTTCTGTTCCATTAGGAAACAAGCCCGAATCGAGCTCACCACTGATCATGTTTCGCGACACGTCTAGCTCGACAACCATGGAAAGGTTGGCAACAGAAAGTGGAAAAATGCCAGTGAAAGCATTTGTAGAGAGATCAAGGAATTGGAGGTTTGTGAGGAGGCCTATGGTGATTGGTATGGTGCCAGTGAGTTGGTTTACTTTGAGATCGAGGCGAAGAAGTTGAGGGAAAGAAGAGAAGTCTAAGCGCTCGAGCGTACCTTTTAGGCCAGAGTAAGCGAGGTTCAGTCCGATCACATCTCCGGCATTATTGCAGGCTATTCCAAGCCATTTGCAGTGGCTTGAGCTTGAGAGGTTGGTTTTAATGGCCCATGAGGTGAGGATTGATTGGTTGGCTATGCTTTGTTTCCATTTGAGAAGTGCCTCAGCTTGTGAGTTTGGCGATGGTTGAGCATTGCAGAAAGGTGGCAAAACTAGTAAAGAAACTAGCAAAAAGGTAGCAAACAGGCTGAGATGTTTTACTTGCTTGGTCATTGCTGTGGAGCAGAGATTTGGTTTGCTCTGAGGTCGTTTTTTGATTTTCTGATACACAAAATGCTTTTTGTATTAGAACTTAAAGGTCATATTTGATTCACAACACTAATAGTGAAGTATTAATAATCCTATTAAATTAGTGTGGTATTCACTATCCAATTGAATTAATATCGATTGGATTAATAATCTCACCCTTACCCCATTACTAATAATCCTACAAATTTGTTGGATTAATTATCCATTGGATTATTAATCTTAAATCAAAATGTTAAAACAAACATAGAATAATTGGACCCACGGATTAATAATCCCAATCCCATACTCCAATCCACCCAATCAAACATGCCCTAAAAAGCAAATCTCATCTCATTTATAGGTAGGACAAACCGAATAGAATTGATGATCAACGTTAGTCAACATGAATTTTCAATGGCGAGCCTTATACCGGTTCAATCAAAAAAATATTACTTATTAACTGATACAATTAATAACTAGCAAAAAGGTAGCAAACAGGCTGAGATGTTTTACTTGCTTGGTCATTGCTGTGGAGCAGAGGTTTGGTTTGCTCTGAGGTCGTTTTTTGATTTTCTGATACACAAAATGCTTTTTGTATTAGAACTTAAAAAGCAAATCTCATCTCATTTATGGGTAGGACAAACCGAATAGAATTGATGATCAACGTTAGTCAACATGAATTTTCAATGGCGAGCCTTATACCGGTTCAATCAAAAAAATATTACTTATTAACTGATACAATTAGTACATTACGGCTTATTTTTAACTTGAGATCTTATTTAATAATAAACTAACATGTAACATAATAACTTTTAGATATATTGGTACAAAATTATCTTGAAATAAATAAGGGGAAATTACCATTAATTGGAAATTTTATAAAATTATTACAGATTCATTGAAAGACTTATGATTTTCAATTATTAATATTTATAAAATTTATCACTTATTTATAATTATTTTTTAGGACTTGTACTAATTTGAAATTTTCTCAATAAATAACTACATTTGAGCAGTGGAGCTCTTTGGTGCCAACTTAGTTGGAATCGTTTGATTTTGTTATGATATTTCTTCACCCTTTGTACTGATGTTTTTATCTTGTACATTGATTTGTATCAATAAAATTCTTTTCGCTATTCAAAAAAAAAAAAAAATGGTGCAACTTATTATAAAAAAAAATAAAAATTGATAATCATAAAGAGAAATTCAAAATATTTTTCTCTAAACTTTTAAATAACCAATTTATTTAAATTATTTCAGCAGAAGTTACAAAAAGGAACAAAACAATACGTACCACACTACAAAGGAAAAAAAAATAAAGGAGCCAGTCTAACTTTATTTATTTATTTATTTTTGTTTTTAATCGGCGAGTGTGAATTGGCCTAATCAAGCGATCCTACCAGATTAACTGGAGAGAAAAAAGACTTCAAAAAATTTCTTTTCTTGGATAGGGATTTAAATGATGTAATCAAGATCATACTACTGCCTAGTTGTGGGCGACAATAAATCAGAAATTAAATCATCGGGTAGGAGTAAAGTTATTCGCAAAAAAAGTCATAAACAAATTTATTATAAAAAATAATAATATTTAATGGATAGTTATTTGATAGTTGCAGAATACGATAACTTGATGTTTTAGAATAATATGATTGGTGGAGAAAGTAGAACATTAATTATTTGTATTGGGTTGTTAAGAATATGAGGGACATAATAAATAATAATTTGTAAGGGAGTATGATCACGTAATATTCCGAAACTATTATATAATTTTCTCTAATTCAAATTTAATTCATAGATTTTGGGTAGTGAATATAACTTGCTTAATATTTTTCTATCTATCATTTTTTTTTTTTTTTTGGGTATATCGAAAAGGAATCTATCTATCAATATCATTGTTTTGGTTAGAGGCCTTGAACTATAATCTACAAGAATGACTTGTTTTTAATTGAAATTTTAACTATACCAAATAGTTGAAGTTTTTGACAAGTGTCATTAAATAAAAGATTCTGACTGAAAAAAAATTATTAAAAAGAAAATTGTTACCGCTAATAAAAAATTTTCAAAGATTCTTACTCGTACTAGTAAAAGTTTTTCGTTTAATGATTTTTTTCGGTTAAAAATCTCAATTATCTGATTTAATTTAACTTTCAAAAGGAGACAAACCAAAACCAATCTACAAACTATCTTCATAGATTGTATTTTTTTTAATTACAATTTTGTCCTAAAACTAATTTTCATTTTTGACCCCATCTCCATCTTTCCAACCCTATCCCCAACCCCAACCCCATCTCCACATCCACCTTCACCTCTATTTTACTCCGGCCGGCAACACCCCGCCATCACCAAATCTCATTCGCTCGAGCTCGTTACCGCCTCCTCCTTCTCATCTTCTTCTTATTCTTTAGCCATTCCTAGTGCCACCAACCTCGCAATATCGTCTCAACCACCACCATCTTCGTAGCCCTTCATCGTTGCCACTACGAGAGAGAGAGAGAGAGAGAGAGAGAGAATTGGCAATTACCACTTTGATTCCTTCGACAATCGCAGCCGCCGTGGTGATCTCCACCGCAAATCTAAAAAAAGGAAAAAGGAAGGGAGTAGCAGTGGTCAGAGGTTGTGGAAGAGTGGCTACTGGTGGGAAAGGTGCTAGAAGGCTGCCGGAGGGGTGGGACTGCCGGTCGCTACTGCCGCCTCCTTCTCTTCTTCTTCTTTTTCCTATCGCAACCCAAATCGTGACTCACCGACACTATCATTGCCTAAAGTCGCTACTGTTGCCATCACCGATTTCTAAAAACCCTAGGTCTAGGCTGTGAAATAGTAGAGATTGGCTACGGATTGGCCACTGGAGATAGCGGTGATGGTCGCCGGAGTTGGTGGGGATGACATTAGGGTTAGGGGCTAGGGTTTGGGGTTAGGAGTATAGTTGGTATTGAGGTAGGAGCTTAAAGGGAAAATGGAGGAAACTTACTTTTTTGGGTATGAATTCAAAAAAATGGGACCAAAGTAAAACGTTGAGGACAAATAACAGTCCTCTTATTTAAATTTGATAGATTAATTGGACACTAACCAATCACAATTCATCAACTTGTAACAATGACGTTGATGCACATGGGATTTTAGTTGATTTCTATTATTTACTCTTTTAAATTTACAATCTTAGAAATATATTTTAAGTGGAACTTGTTTGGCAACATGTCTTAGATTAAATAATATTTTAACCAGATAATGTCTATATTTTAATGTCTATCTAACTATCCATTATCATGTTATGAATGGACTGTCCTTTATTTTTATTATTATTTTTTATTTTTAAATGTAATTCAAACTTCCAAAAGGCTAGTGGGGCAAGTGTGTTTACAATTGGGAAACCCACGGACAACAAAATTGGGTACAGACTACAGCGAAAATGATGGTTTGAAATTCATGACAAAAGTGAGCAATGAAGAAGTCCAAATTGTATTCTATTTTATTTTATTTTCTTCTTTTTTATGTATTTATCCTTATGTGATTGAAATCTTTGTTAGACTTTTGGGGTTGGTTGAAATCAACATCATATGCATATCAATGAAAACCTCAATAAATTTTTGGTTTTCCAACTTTTATAAGTCAAGCTGCCTTATGTGAAGGAATAGAAATCTCACCAACAAAGTCATCTGTCATGACAGTTCATTGGATTAGTATAAAAAAAACTGAATTTTTTTTTTTTTTTTTTTTGGGTCATCGAAATAGGATTCTTTGATAATCCGTAATATTTGATGAATTTGTTATAAAGAGTCATCATTCTGTATAACTAAAAATATGCAATTTAATTATAACATGTAAGGCTTGTTAAGGCGTTTTATTTGACTCAAACTTATACTACAAACAAGTTTTAAGCTAGTACAAATAAGATTTTGATTGAGTTTACACCTAGGTGTTGAAGCTCGATCATAACTTGAACTATTGGCTTGTGAGTTATGGTCCATTGGCTTAGTCAACTTGAACTATTGTCTTGTGAGTTATGGTCCATTGGCTTAGTCACCGAGCTTGACAAAAAAAAAAAAAAAAAAATGAAGGAGAAACTAAGGAGAGAAAAAAAATTAAAAAACAAAAAAGAGCAAAAGTATGTTTGAATTTCAACCCATTGCCGACCGCTAGCTTTGTTGCATAGGGATTAGGCCTAACATATTTTGGAACTGGTACCCAACTCATTAGAAGAAAAAACTGTTGTGTCAGAATTTCTTAGATATGAATATACAAAATAAAGATGCATGAGAATAACAAAAATAAATTTTAATTCACTTAAATGAATTCAAAATAAATATAAAAAATTTACAAACAAATATAAAGGGGAGGTAATCTCTTCTAACTCATAATCACTCTTAAATTCAAATATTTTCTATATTTAATACAACACATTAACTTCCTATTTATAGGTGTCTGAGGAGAATGAGAGACGGAAGCGGTAACGCCAAAATTATTGTGTTTCGAATGCGTTTAGGAAGCTTCATTGTTGCTTCCATTGTTGACCAACTAAGAACTTTAATTCAAAACTATCATCTTCAGTAGCTTTTTGAACTATCATCTTCAGTAGCTTTTGGATCATTTAGAAGGCTCAAGAACAATCTGGAGGAGAATAAGAGAAGTTCAATCCAAACTTGAGAAGCAAAGCCAAATTTTCAACAATTCTCCACCTTGGCGAAAATTCTCTAGTACATAAATATGAGCAAAACTCCACCTTAGCAAAATACCATAAATAAATAAACAACCAACCATGCAAGTGCTCCAAAGTGAACACACTTTGATGCCCAAAACAAATTTTGTTGCACCAAATAAAACAAACGAATGCTCTATAAACAAATCAAAACGAAACAACAAACTCAAAAGCTCAAGACATATCAAGCCAATCCAAACTGAAGAACAAAATGAACTAATTCTTCTAATTTTCTGCAACAAATCCAAATTCTAAACTCTATCATGATGTCAAATTCCAAAATTTAAAAAAACCAAAGTTTTACTAAGACCTGAAGTAGATTGCCACAAGATCTACT